TCAAGTCAAGCAGGATTTTCTGAAAAAAAAAAAAAAAAAATCAAATGTATACCTCAGTGGCTTGGGGTAACTCAGTTTTACAGAATACATCAGGCCAAGAAGGGCAACACAACACATGCATTGCAACACTGGACAATCCTGACAGAACCTCAACACCTTTCAAGAAAGAAATGCCATCTGGAGAGCCCCCTTGTAGGGTCTTCTTGGGCTATTTCCCGATCAGTGTCCTATAACACAAAACAATAAAATAATAAAAATGCATATTGTGCTTTTTTGTTTGTTTGTTCATTAAGGGGGTAAAAACGCAAAAAGACAACAAAATATGTCAGGCTCAACTTTAAAACATGTATAAAGCTCACTGATGGAGACATCCAAGCAGTCATTAATCTAAATCATTCAACCAAACAAACAAACAAAAAAAACTTATTTTATTTAAGATTAGTCATTATATTTTCAAATTTGCTCTTCCCACTTAATATAAAAGTAATTTCAAAGCGAACGACACAAAATTTACCATATTCACTCACCTGGTAATGTGGAAATGTGCAATCAGATTGTCAGTGTTTTCTGATAGGAAGACAATCAAGCTGCGATCCTGAGTACAAACAGAAATATCTACAATGCTAACATATGATCAAAGGCAAACTGTGGAGAAATTTTATTTGTTCACGATCTAATATCGCACCATGTGTTTGGGGTGTGTATATAACTACTGTGGACCATCCTTTTTTTGCACAGACCAAACAATCTGCCACTCACCATTATTTAACATTCATCTCATAAAAGTAACTGTACAATGTGTATTTTGGTCTCACAAAAGACTCCGGAGTGCACGCACATGTTTAACAGTGCTCATTTGATATCTAGTAAAGTGCCAAATAAAAAAAATCAGAAACTTGTATATTCAGGATATATGATAAAGAAAAGCTCTACTTAACAGTTACTTACCTTCACCGTGGATGAGAAGTCCTCTTCTGAGATCTGGTTTTCTAAAATGGCCATAACAAATTGCACGTTTCAAAGTTAATCCAGTTCGTCACGTGGTATCTGCTTGGGTCCTAAAAAATTGTGTTAATTTGACTTTTTTTTTTTATTATTGTTGACTTCACTCAAAATTACTTGTTGTTTTTCATTATTAATTAAAGTAAACCATAAACTCAGTATGTTATGTAACATTTGTAGCTTTAAATTAAGTAATGTGCAAAACTGATTTTTTAAAAGTAGAATCTGTTTATTTTAATGAGCCATATTTGCTGAGCGCAGGCATCTGTTGGGTCCTAAAAAATTGTGTTAATTTGACAAATTATTTTTATTGTTGACTTCACTCAAAATTACTTGTTGTGTTTCTTTATTAATTAAAGTA